GTGTGTGAGGGCATGTGTGTGTGAGGGCATGTGTGTGTGAGGGCATGTGTGTGTGAGTGGAGTATGTAACGGGCCGTGTGAGTGTGTAAGGGTGTGTGAGGGGTGTGAGAGTCTGTAAGTGAGGCGCCAGCCCCCTCCCCCCTACACGTTGATCTTATTCGATCGGCCGGGCCCCGCCGGGCCGAGGTGAGAAGAAGGCGCCGCGAAGCCCCTGGGGCGCTGTGCGGCTGGGCCGGGCGGGATGAGTCGATCAGATAGGCGAGGCCCAGGGCACTGCCCTGGCCCGTGAGCGCCCTGCGATTCTGACCCGAGCCCGCGGCCACAGAACCCCAGGGGGGTACCGCGACCGGCGAGGGGGATGTGGCCCTGCCTCGTCTCCCGGGGCCCTGCGGGGCACAAGGGCCTCGTCCACGGCCCCGGAGGGTCCACGCGACACGGCAGGGACACCCCGGTGTGGCCTCTGTGGGGACACGGGCATGGCCGTGGTGACAAGGGGACAGCCATGGTGGTGACCAGGAGATGGACACGGTGCTGACCAGGGGATGGCCGTGGTGACAAAGGAACAGCCACCACAGTGACAGGGACAGTCGTGGTGCTGACCAGGCACAGCCGTGGTGGTGACCAAGGGATGGCCGCAGTGGTGACAAGAGGACCACTGTGCTGGTGACAAAGGGCCAGCCGTGGTGGTGACAAGGCCATGATGATGACCATGGAACAGTCACGGTAGTGACAAGGGGATGACCATGGGGACAGAGGGGCAGCCATAGTGGTGACAAGGGGGTGGCCACGAGGGCACAGCCATGGGGTGACCAGGAGATGGCAACAGTGGTGACAATGCCTTGATGGTTACCAGGGGACAGCTGTGGTGCTGACAGGGGACAAGTCACCATGGTGGTGACCAAGCGATGGCCATGGCAGTGACAAGGGGGTGGCCACAAGGGGACAACCACAGTGGTGCCCAGGGGACAGGTGTGGCAGTGACAAGGCCACGGTGGTGCCCAGGGGACAGCTGCAGTGCTGGCACTGCCAGGAGGAGCAGCTATGGTGGCCCTGCTATGGGGACACTCCAAAAGGGGGGACACTGTCCTGAGGGGGCTCCGTGTGTGAGGTGTCCCCAGGGCAGCCCAGGGACAGCAGACACTGCAGACAGTGTGGGACACGGCCACCCCCTGCCACCGCATCCCGGGGCTGTCCCTGGGCTGCCCTGGGGACACACATGTCCCCTCCCCATGGGTGTGTCCTCCATGCCCACGCTACCTGTACCACCACAGAGCTGGGACCCCCTGTCCCTCTGTGTCCCCATGTCAGCCATGTCCCTCTGTGTCCCCTCTGTTCCCATGTCACCAGTGTCCCCTTATACCCCCATATCCCCTGTATCTCCCATGTCCCCCTGTGTCCCTATGACCCTTCTGTCCCCCATGTCCCCTTTGTGTCCCCCTGTGCCCCACATCAGCTCTGTCCCTCAGTGTCCTCGTGTCCCTGATGTTCCCATATCTCCTGTGTCCCCATGTCCCAGTGTCCCCGTCTTCCTCTATCCCCATATCAGCTCTGTTCCCTCCCTGTGTCCCACATGTCCAGAACACGTGTGTGTCCCCCCCAGTCCCCTCCAGTCCCCGGGGCTGGCCCTGCCCCGCGGGGACACGGCCCGGGGGGGTGGGGGCGGCTCGGGGGCGTGGGGGGACCCGTGAGCCCCCTGGACCCCCGTCCCGGTGTTCCCCCAGCCCTGGGGGGGGCGGGAGGAGGGGCCGTTCCCGGAGCGGGGGGTGATATCCTGAGCCGTTCCCGGAATAACGTCCTGGGAATGATGCTTGGGGCGGGGCCGTTCCCGGGGATACCTCCCGAGGGTGATGCCCGTGGCTGTTCCCGGTGCCGGGATTCCGTTCCCAGGGATACCTCCAGGGGTGATGCCCGATGCCGTTCCCGGGAATACGTTCCGGGGATGACGCTTGATGCCGTTCCCGGGGATGACTCCCGATGCTGTTTCCATGGAAAACACTGCCGATGCCCGGTGTCATTCCCGGGATGTCATTCCCGGGGGTTCCACTGTCGTGTCTCTGTTCCTGGTACCGATGCCGGGTGCCGTTCCCATCAATGACATTCCCGGTGCCGACTCCCGAGCCCGTTCCCGTGGCTGCCGTTCCCGAGGACGATGCCGGAGGTCGTTCCCAGTACCATTCCCGGCGGTTCCGTTCCCGAAAGCGGTGCCATTCCTGGGGCAGTACCCAGGAATGGTTCCCAGTACCATTCCCAGTGCCTGGTGCTGGTTCTTGGGGGCTCCGTTCACATTCCCGGTGCCGTTCCCGGTGGCTCCGTTCCTGTTCCCGGGGGTTATGTTCCTATTCCCGTTGGCGGACGCAGGTGCCGTTCCCATTCCGGTTCCCGTTCCCGGCGCAGGTGCCGCCGGTGCGCGGGGGCGGGCGGTTGGCGGGGGCGGGGCTGTGCCGGTGCCGCTCGGGCCGCGGAGCCGCCGCCGTTGCCGCCGTTGCCGCCGTTGCCGCCGCCATGGCCGGAGCCGGAGCCCGAGCTCGGTGGGCGCCGCTGGCGCTGCTGTGTCTCGCTGTCACCGCGTCCCCGGGACGCGCCGCGGAGCAGCTGCACGTCTGCAAGGAGGTACCGACACCGGGGATGGCGGGGGGGCACAACCCCCTCGAATTCCTCACACACACCCCGGGACATGAACCGGAGCGCAGGGGGGGACAGGGAGGGAATGGGAGTCCTTGTAGCGGGGCGGGCTGGTGAACCCTTGGGGAGGGGGCCTTGCCAGACTCCGAGGGTCTCCTGGGAGGACCCCAAGTGGTGTCACCCTATCGCTACCGCCAGATCCCAACCCCTCACACACATTGTGGTGGTCCCAAACCCTCCCCGAGCGCTGTTGGGAAGGGGGGGGTGACAAGGAATGGGAGGGGGGACATTCCCAGTGGCCACGTGCCATTCTCAACCCGGCACGCGGTGGCCAAAGTGTCCTGCGAGGAAAAACCGGGGGATCTGTCACTCCCTGGGCTCTGCCCGCCTCGGGGACAACGGGTGAACCCCCAGATCACCTCCCTGGGGCGCCCCCCCCGCTGTTCTCCCCCCTTTCCCCCCCAGACCTGCGGCTGCTTTTTAATCTGGGCCAGGAATGTTTTTCACGCCGTGATCCAGTTTTTTTGTCCGTGTTCCACGATACGGAGCTGGGAACAATAGAGTGGGGCTGGCACCTGTCCCCGCCAGGGACCGGCCCCCCGCGGCGGGGGGGTGTCCCCTGTCTCTGTCCCTCCCTAGGGACAGCCCTGCTGCCCCCCGGCCGGAGCAGGGTGACAGTGACACCTCGAGGTGCCCCCCCTTCGCCCCCCGGGCCGCCCCGCGGCTGAATTAGGTCAATTTATTTAGATTAAAAAAAAAAACAAACCTAAGAAAAGTTTAGGAAGAGGGGAAAAAAACCTTCTCCCCAAGGGGATCCCTCGGGAGTGACAGCGATGGGGGGGTTCGGGGCTGCTCAAAGCTGGAGTGACCCCCTGGGTACCCCCAGGGTGGGGGGACCCTCCTCTGTGCCCTATGCGGAGTTGGGGGGTCTCGGGGCTGCCCAGATACAGGCGGGGGGTGCTGCAGACACGTCTCATCCCCCCTTTTCCCTTCCCCCCCCCCCCTTCTCCCCCCTCCCCATCCCCCCTTTTCCCCTCATCCCTCCCTTTTCCTTCCCCCCATCGCCGCCGTTTCCAGCTGACGGGAACATCAAAGCGGTTGTTTTCCCATCAACCTGCCACGCTCTGGCAGCCGCCGGGAGCACAAACCACCGCGCTCTGCCAGCCCGGGGCTGCGCGGGGGTGAGGGGCTCCCCCTGCACCCAGTGCCCACTCCTTGTGCCCCCCCTACCCCCCGTGCCCCGACACCCCAAAGCTGTGTGAGGGTGAGGGGCTCCCCCTTGTACCCAGTACCCTGTGCCCCCTGTACCCGGTACCACCCCTGCCTGACACCTCAGAGCTGCTGTGAGGGATGAGGGGCTCCCCCCTGTACCCTGTGCCCACCCCCCTGTACCCCCTGTACCCCTGTGCCCCAACACCCCAGAACTGGGTGGTGAGCTTTCCCCTGTACCCTGCACACCTCCGCCCCCGTGCCCCCTGGACACCCCAGAGCTGTGCGGAGGGTGGAGGGTCTCCCCCCGACCCCGTACCCCAAACCCCGTCCCCTCCCCCAGCCCCGTCCTTGATCCTGCCGTGTCTGTCCCCGGTGTCACCTCCCCGGTATCATCTCCCCGCCGGCCTTGAGCCGCTCCCAGCCTGGCACAGCCGGTGGGATGGGGGAGGGTCACGGTGCCCCCACTGTCCCCGGTGCCCCCCAGGACCCCCCGGTGTTTGAGGAGCCTCGCGTGTCACCGGCTCGGCCGCCCCAAGGCTGTGACAGGGCAGGGTGTCCCCGCCCACCCCGGGGAGGGGGCACAAGGTGGCCCCGCCGCTGTGTCGCCCCGTGGGGTGTCGGGGGCGGGGTCCTGGGTGACCCTCCGGCCCTCCCTGGGGTTTGGTGGCTGAGGGGGCAAGTCCTTGGGGGAGAGGGTCGTGCTGTCTGAAGTCCTGCCTGCAGCGACCCCCTCAGACAGCCCCCAGCCCGGCACCCCCTGGGACCCCCACACTCCCTGACCCCACCCTGAGCCCCCCCATTGCCCAGCACCCTCCACCCAGAGCATCCTCACCCTGGGCACCCCCACCCTGAGCCCCCTCTGGTCCCCAGCATCCTGCACCCTCCGAATGCCCGCCCCCCCACGAGCACCCCCACACTGAGCACTCCCATTCCCCAGCACCCTCCACCTTGGGCACCCCTACCCAGAGCACCCCTCACTCCGAGTACCCCTATTTCCCAGCATCCTGCACCCCCAGAATCCCACCACCACGAGGTGGGGGTACAGCCTTTCCTGGGGGGCACAGGGTGGGGGTGCGGCCCCTCCTGGCGGGCACACCCCTGTCTGGGGGGCACGGTGGGGGTACAGCCCCTCCTGGGGGGCACAGGGTGAGGGTACAGCCCCTCCTGGGGGGCACACCCCTGGCGGGGGGCACGGTGGGGCTGCAGCCGTGGCGGGGGCAGCGCGGGGGTCCCGGGGGCAGCTCCCCCCGTGCTGTCCCTGTGCCCCCCCCGCAGTCCGAGTACCACTACGAGTACACGGCGTGTGACAGCGCCGGGTCGCGCTGGAGGGTGGCAGTGCCACACAGCCCCGGGCTCTGCACCGGCCTGCCCGACCCCGTCCGCGGCACTGAGTGCGGTGAGTGCCGGGAACGGCCGGGATAGCGCCTGTGGGATGGGATGGGATGGGAGGGGTGGGAATACCACACATGGAGTGCCT